TGGACTAGAGGAGGGGAATAGGTACACCATCACTGTGAAACTCTATAATGATGCTGGTAGAGGTCCAGTCAGTAACTCTGTTACTGCAAAGACCATTGAAGCTGGTAAGGGACAGTACAATTGCCTAGTTCCTTCGTTGTTAACTGTGTTAGTCTACTACAGCTCCCAGTGGTTCTCCTGCCTCAATCACAGTGGGTACACTCACTGCTAACAGTGTCACTCTGCAGTGGGGAGAGGTGGCCTGTCTAGAGAGAAATGGAGAGATCACTGGCTACACAGTTACTGCAGCAAACTCAGATGGGGTGGTAAAAGGAACATGCTAGTGTTAACGTAGATGCTAGACAAGCCACAATCTCTGGACTGACTCCATCCACACAGTATACTGTGTCAGTGGCTGCAGTCAATGGTGTTGGTACTGGACCTGTCACTACCCTCCCTGTAGAGACTCAAGGTGAGAGTTTGAAGTCCATTCCATACTGTGCTTATTTTAGCAAACAAGCGCTGATTAGCTATGCATGAATCATTCCCATGTAAAGAAAGTTGTAGAAAGCAAGCCAACCCAGTCATTCCAAGAACCAGTTATTCATGCATATGTGATAGGCTCTGAGAAAACAACCCTTATTGCACAAGTTCAAGTAGCAGCACATGCATCCTGCCCACGTGCTCCTCACAAGCACTCTCTTATTCTCTTCTCATCTATAACTCACTGTGCCTAAATATTTTATAAAAAACCTGCTTTTGCTAGCATTGTATTATTGGCCCCTTTCACGAGCCTGTCATAATATCTTTAGGTCCCCCACCTCCTACTGGTGTGACAGCAGTTCAGGATGGTCCCACTAGTATCACAGTGACCTGGACTCCTCCCTCTCCACTGGGAGATACCACTGGCTACAGGATCTCCTACACCACAGGCAGTGATGTGGATATTGATGGTGGCTCTACCAACAGCTACACTCTGACTGGTCTCACCAATGGACAGACATACACCATATCCATCGTAACAATGGCTCCAAATAGACCAACAAGTTCTCCCATTGAAGCTCAAGTCACACTAGGTCAGAGCCACACACTGCTGAATATGTTCTGTTTATGACTCATTCTCCATTCATCAGTGGGTGTTCCAGAGAAACCAACTGTGGACATGGACAACATTGAGACCTCACCCACTACCATCACTACCTCCTGGAGCTTTCCTCCCGATGCCACTGGCTCTGAGGTGAGCTGGGAACTAACAGGGCAGACGAGAAGAAGACGAGTCAGCAATGCTGAGGGAGGGACTAGTGGACGACTCCCAAAAGACCAGAACAGCTACACAATTGGACGTCTGAGGAGTGGAACTAGCTATGACATCACTGTAACAGTCTTCAACCCTGCTGGGAACTCCTCCACCACCTTTACTCACTCTACAGCTGAAGGTTAGTGTACTTATTAATATTCTACCTTCCCTTTCTCTACGATCTACAAAGTTGAACCTCCGAATATGGAACTAGGCATTATGTCATTTATATAGGGAGGTTGTCCTCTTTTTTATGGCTAAGAATAATGCTGCGACCTCAAAGTGTGCTCTTTACTGAGAGGATTTCAATGAGTCCAACTATTCATGCTTATTGGAGGTTCTACTGTGTAGCTATACCGTACTTAAAATTCACACACTTCATTCTCTGCCTACATCAGACATCAGCAAGAGTGATTCATCAGCATCGGTGGCTGCTCTTGGTGGTGTGTTGGGAGTGGTGATTGTGACTGCTATAGTAGTGCAGGCTATGGTGATAGTCTTTTTCATCAGGAAACTCCAAAGAGCTAAAGGTAACATGACTATGGACCACCATCAAAAGCAGTCAACACTTTTTTCTTTTTATGCAGCCTCCACGAACACTGGCGTAGAAATGCCCACATTTTCAGGAAAGAAATATCTGTAGGTTAAGTGCAACAAATTGAGGTTCTATCATTGGACTTTACATTTCTTTCTACTGTCAACTGTGCCTTGTTCCATCAGTGGCTCAGAGCAGTTCCAGACCTCCAGTAATGAGGCCTACGATGTAGTGAGAGGGACTGGAAGTACAGCTGAAGGTGAATATGAGGTAACACAAGCCCTCCCTCCCTCCACCTCCTCCCAGCCTACCACTGCTGCTGCTGGAGACTCTCTCTATGAGTCTGTGTGATGTGTCCCTACATTACTGTTCAGTATCTGACTACTGCAGACATGCATGAAATATTATTGTGCATACATTAGTTAGTAGTATGTGATGATGTGTAGTACTGAATTAGAAGAGGAGTGATCCTCCTCATTTGCACTGGTTGACTAGTTAAAAGTACAAACTCCGCAATGAACTGAAATTGCAAAGATTTTATAAGGGGAACGGTAGCTGCACAAAGGGAGACCAGATGGAGACATACCAAAACTTTGTCTCATTGATTGGGCTCAGGGTTAGCCATTGTTGGCGTGTAATTATGTTGATTTGCTAGTAAAAATACAAGTTGAGGGATTAAACTCTCGTGGATTGCTTTATACATAATTGGTCTATCTTCCACCCACACCCCAGAACAAAATGACGCACCGAACACGTGTAAACAGTGAAAGAGTTCCCTCCTCAAGTTTCATGCTGCAAGTCAAGATGACGTCTCACATGATTGACACCAAAATCATGTGCGGGAGCGATAGTTTATACATTAAACACATACTAAAGTCATAGTTGTGAGATCTTACTTCTCGTTCGCGGGAGGGGAGCTGGGAGGAGAATGTGGATTTCTCGATTCAGCTGGGTGTCGAGTGGCAGCATATGGCCGAGCCCTCTGTGCGCATCCTCTCCTCTTGCTGGAGGCCAGGTACTGGGTCCTGTTGTCAATGGTGGTGCTCGCAGACTGCACCACTCCATACCCTCCGCCCCACACTCTGGAAGGGGATATATCATTATGGCAGTGTAGGTAAGGTAAGTAACAAGCTATATGTCCCTCACTCATGCTGGTGTCTAAGTAGTCTCGTGAGCTCATGCAAGCATGCCACTTGTGTTTGATACCACCCTGCCTTGAACACCTACTTAGCCTAGAAGGCAGTGAGGTGTTGTTGGATTACCATATCTGTTGTCTATCTTGTTTCTCTGTTTTTCTGTAGTTTAACCATATATCATTGTAGCAACTCCATGCTGCTTCCATAGTAGGGTGTTTGTAGCTCTCTGCAGACTAGTTCCACGGGAGAAGAATACATACTTGCCTACGCGGTGTCTTAGTCCACTAAACAACGCACGACCCACACTCTGCTTAGAGTTTAGCTATTGGTTGTCTTGCTTGGAGACCATGTTTCCCGATTTCACGAGGATGGTGGGGATGGTGGGGGAAGGAGGAAAGGTCAGTGGAGAAGGAGACATTTCTTGAGTCATACCTTCGTCATCAAGGTGTGTGTCACATTGTATGTGGACACCACTGCCTTGAACACCTGCTAGGTCCTAGGGACAGATCCTGGTTCCAGTTTACTGCAACCTTGTGCACTATATAGAGTTGTGTTTTTCCACCTCACACTGGGTAGTTTTAAACCTGGTGGGTGGTGGTGGGTGGTGGGGGATCTGTGACTCCAGCCATGAATATTGGTTAGAAGGTGCGCATGACTGTAGTTGTGCCTCCCACTCTTTGGGA